ATTCTTGAAACCAGAAGCTGAAGAATCTAAACTTGGGCCCTTTTAAAGCTTCTAAATGCTGAGTCTTGAAGGATTCTTCAGACAGATATTCTAAACAAGACTTATGTTCATGCTAAAAAAGGCTCCCCTTCCATCTGTTCAAACAGAAAGCACTAGGGCCCTCTTAGCATTTGTTCACATAAATAGGCACCAACAAAAACATCTCCTAAAAGATCCTCCAGCCAGTGTCCTGAAAAGGCTTAAGGACAAATCATGTCCTGTGCTAGCTGTGTGACCCCAAGGAATGGTCATTTAGAATCCGTGGGTCTCAGGCAACAACCCAGGACTTCAGTAAGGCATGGACAAACAGACCCTGCTAATAGAGAGCAAGTTCCCAAGACGAAGCTCCTCAAGCCTTCTGTATTGGCAAATGTCCAAGTCCTAAGCATGCTGCAAAAGCACTGAATGACCACTTACATGCCAGGCACTGTGCTAAGAACAAAACCTACAAAGAAAGTCACCAACAGGCCTGGCTCTCCAGTTCACGTTCTAAAAGGGGAGACAAGTCTTAAATATTGTGATATCTGTTTGCATTTATGTCTTGGAGCATTTGCTCTGTGGAAGAGAATGGAAATAGAAACTCTGGGTGCCCTATTCAAATGTTGATTCTCTGCTTAAAACATGCACTGCAAAGAACTAAGGCGGAGATGTCAAACCAGATTAAACTAACTGTGAAATATTTTAACATGATAAAAATAGAATGCAACACAGATAATGTTAACATGTGGTTTTCTTCCCTAAATCAATATGCAAGATCAGTTGCTATTTGAGTACTCCAGTGGGCTAAGGAGTAAAGGCTTGCAGATTGCATGTTATCTATCACATCTTTACCCCCAAAATGGTGTGATTAGTCCTCACTTTTAGGTCTAGTTATTCTACTTAGTCCACATGTGACAATTCACAGTAATATATTCACACATGTGAAGGAAAGACACTAATTTAATTGAAAATAGGGGTACCTCGTGTCACATACCTCACCAAAACCACCAAAGTACTCCCTTATTTTCTCTTCAGGTGTATCTGGAGAAAGGCCACCAACAAAAATTTTTTTAACAGGTTCTTTTGTTTTCATGGCTTTGGCCCTTTTAGGATCAATCACTTTGCCATTCAATTTGTGTTCTTTCTGGTCCATGACCTAAAGAAATTGGAAGCTTTGTTTTAAAAATGTAATTTTTTCCTAAGTTTCCAGATGTATTAGCTAAAATAGTGAAAGTGAAAAAATATTTAAGCATGAATTAACTAAAACACTGGCCAAATTGAGGCATGATATTGATTCAAGAAAAAAAAATTGCATCAATATATGTGGTGGGGGGTAACACAGATGAACATCTATCCATTCAATTCTTTACTTTTGCCCCAAATGTCTTATCTTCAACCTCACACTGGAATTTTTTTGAGGATGAATCAACCTAAAAGCTACCAGTTCCTCTAACAATGTCCTATTTTTCATATGTCCCACATGGAATATAGGCTTCTGTTCCATTCCCCTGAACAGGCTAAAAAA